TTGAGGTAAAAGGGAAACTACTTAAAATTTTAAAATGTTCTCAAGTCATAGAACTTATAGCTAAAAATGTTGTGAGTCACCATATAATTTTTCTCACCATGTCATTCATGTAAAATCTTAAAAAAAACAATGTGCTAAGGTTTCATGTCTGTCTCACTTAATTATAGATTTACTGACTATGCTAAAATCCTCCCAAGAGGTCTTTAAATGAATTATAAAATATACATATAAAACATAGCAGTTTGATTTAGAACCTTTTAAAAAATTATTTTATCTTTGGAAACCTGTTAGGTATTACTTCAGCTTCTTGTTTCTCCACTTCCTGACACCAAATCACACACCATACTAGCATTTTAATATTTTTAAAAATGTATAAATATATATACATATATGTATATTTAAGCAAATAAAATTAAAATACCATAGACTAAATAATAAAAAAAAAAAACACCTAAACTTACTTTCTGACTTACAAGTACAGTAAACAAAGATATAAATACTAAGCTCTTCAGATACCCCCAAATTCTTACAATTAGAAATAGTTCACCATAAGCTCCTGCCTTTCTCCTGAATAACGTGACTGTATGGCAAGAGTCATGCGTATCATTTACACACCTGTCTGCCCCTCCAGTGCTTTACCTGGTGGTCATCTTTCACACATTAAAAAATAAAAACAGAAAACACAAATACACTTCATAAAACTTACATATATAAGGATGAATCAAAACAAGACCACAGAGAAATAAAATGTGAAAAACTAGACTTTGCCATTAGCTAAATAATTCACTCCCCCATCACTGCCTTATAAACTGCTTATTCAAAACTCAATGTTTCAGCAAATTACACCACAAAGATCTTTAGGGTGGCTTAAAAAGTTAAAATTAGGAATGTTAAATCTGTAAATGCTATATTTATGTGGAATTAGATTTTTCACATAGTTAGCATACATCATAGTGGGTCCAAAGCTGTAATCCAGGTGAACTAATTCGAAAAACACTGGAAAAGAACTGTTCATCTTTGAAGAAGTTTGGAAACTTAATATCTCCTTCTAATAAAGGAAATTGCTTTCTGATATCTGCAACATCCTGTATTGACAGAAACATAAAAACAAAATATTAGATAAAAAGACAACCTCTGGAAAGAATTTTAAAATGCATATTTTATCTAAGGCTACCAATGAGACTACATAATAATAAGAAAAGGGCAAGGAGTGGGAGGGAATGGGAGAAGAGGAATAGCTAGGATGGTGGAAGAGGGTCATCATTATACAAAATACATGTATGAAGATGTGAATTTGGTGTCAACCTACCTCATATATAAACAGATATATGATAAAGGGTAGTATAAAGGTTTATTAAGAATTGTATGCAAAAAAAATAAGAGAGCTGATGTATAATGGCATTATTTGGTGTGAACATACTTTATATACAGAGTTACAAAAAATTGTACTGTGAATGGATAATCATGAATGTAATGCACTCCACTATTGTCATGTATGTAAGAAACAAATAAAAAAAAAGAAAGAAAAAAAAGGGTAAAACTTTGCTCAGTGTTTTAAAATATTGTGATGTGAACATCTGATAACACATTATCTTACTAATGAAGAAATAACAGACTGTGTAAATAAGATTGCAGATTTAACAGTATCACACTGTTAAGCTCTATGTACTTCATTAATAGAAAGGTTCTTTCTACTTTAAGCAAGATTTATACAATTGTCATCTACTCTAATGTGGCTCTATACATTTGACTCCAAATATACATCAAAGCTTATATAATGAATTATTCAGGATTTCTATAATTATTTTGGATTAGTGTTTTATTAGTGGACTGGCCATCTATAAAATATTCAATAGAAGGGATTTATTATTGTATAGATTTCTTATTGTATAATAATATTTCTTATTCTTATTGTATTTCTTATTTAAACACTAAGATTCTATAGTCCTACCTAAGAACTAAGTAATCAATTTTCAATAATTTTAATTAGGGGCACAAATCATTGAGAAAAGAATAGAGTAAGAAAAGTTACATGTCAATCAATAACTATAAAAATTACACTGTAAGTTAAAACACATATAATCACTTAGGCTTTAAACAACTGTTTTAAATCCACAGTTCTTTTTTTCTTTTCTAAACTGGGAATTCAACCCAGGGGCCCTTTACCATTAGGCTACATCTCTATTCCCTTTCATTTTTTAATACAGGGTCTCACTAAGTTGCCCATGCTGCCCTTGAACTTGCTTCAGTTTCCCAAGTCACTGGGATTACAGGTATATACCACTGTGCCCAACCTTAAATCTACATTTCTTACCTTTCTAGGGTCTTCTCCAAGAGACCGTAAGTAGTATTTCTCATCCTTAAACATGCCAAAGAAAAATAACAGCATTCATTTAAAAATTTTAGGAAGTAAAGAAGGAAGGAATTAAGCTTTAAAATCTGACCCAGTGAAGTATTTTTTTAAAAAGTTCAATTACCTTACCCTTTCTACTAATGCTCTCTGGTGGCCATATGAAGAAATGTCTTCATGTATGTGGCTCATAATGATGAATGGATCCACAAAACATTAAGTAAAAGAAATTCTAAAGGCAACACTTAACACACCATGCATAAAACCACAATGATTTACACTTTATACTCCAAATAGTTATTTAGATTTTTTAACAGTTTCTTAACACTTAATAAAAGGATCCTCATTTGTATAGAATACATGATCTCAAAATATTATTAAACACCACCAACAAACTTCTCAATTAAGAAAAATACTCTTTGCTTTTAATAAATCTTTTAAAAACTTGGAACAGTGCATTTTATCAGGCTAAACCTATCCCTGACAACAGAAATGCTAAAGTGAAATCCTTAAGAGTCAGCTCAGGTGTGAGTTAGAAACATTATCATTTCATACTAGTAAACTCAAATGGATAATTTTTTAAATTATCATTTATACTTCACTGAGTAGCTAAATAGGGATCTGCCTGAAATATAAAACATTCACTGTAGGGTTGGGAGTATAACTTGATGGTATAGCATTTGCCTAGCATTTTGTAAAGCGCTGGGTTTGAGAATCAGCACTGCAAAAAATGATAACGGCAACAACAACAATTCATTGTTACCTGCATTTTCCATGAATTAGAGAACTGAGATATATTAGGTCAAGTTCAGGGGCAAACCAACTCAAGAATTCTGCTTCTTTGAAACCAGTATGAACCATTATAACACAAACTTCAAAATACATCTTATTTACATTAAAACCCTATATCTATGATCATAAATCTATCAGAATTCTTGGATTCACTATTTTCATATTTTTAGTATCAGATCAGATAGGTTCTATAAGTATGTTACTGGCTAAACAGATTTCAAAAAATGTTCTTCAAAATTCTAAGGATATTCTAACAGTCTAATGTCTCAGGGTTTAAAAAAATAAGTTCAGGGCTGGGGATGTGGCTCAAGCGGTAGCGCGCTCGCCTGGTATGCGTGCGACCCGGGTTCGATCCTCAGCACCACATACCAACAAAGATGTTGTGTCTGCCGAGAACTGAAAAATAAATATTAAAAATTCTCTCTCTCTCTCTCCTCTCTCACTCTCTCTTTAAAAAAAAAAAAAATAAGTTCACATAGCAGAGATCTACTGCTCAGATTCAAGATTCAAGAAAGGACTTATTACTTATAGTTGCAAGAACTGTGATTTACTTAGGATTGCCAGCTGTTAACTTCCTAAGGTTTACCTTAGTACCTGAAACAAGGTTTTACTTTTCCTAGGGCAGGCCCAACCAAAGACTAAGTTGGTAGTCCTGCCAATCAAGGCGGGACTCCTCTGACATACAGTACATACAAACTAGATGACTTCCCCCACCCAAGCCTGCTTCCTCTCCTTTCCTTTTATAGACATTACTCCCTAATGCACTCCTAATTCTATCTCAGCCTCAGCTTTCCACAGGACTGAACTGACAGTCTAAATTAATCTTGTTTACAGACTTTCCATAATTTTTAGACTTAATCCTTCATCCTGTCTCTCTTTCTTTTACTTCACATTTCATAGCTATTGAAATCTGTGCACTCATTACCCACAGTCAGGAAGCTGCCAAACAGCAACTAAATACACATGTTCAAAGCATGGCTATAAAGTAGTACAGCTAATGGAATTAGGTTTAAGACATTCTAGGCGTAGTACAGATTCACAGACCTCCAAGTGTGCAGGGATTTCGGTGGCAATCTAGCATTACCACTGCCTGATGAGAGAACTATGAAAATGAAACACCTGTTAAACTAAACTGCCTAGCCCAGCTGGCTTTTAGGTAGACATCAGTTTTTGATTAAAAGCTTAAAGCAGCTTATTTTTGCAACGAGCTTTGAGATAACACAGTGATTTTTTTTTTAAATTATAGAAATATTGTAGCTCAATGCCTTGTCTCAAGGTATTTAAACTGAACTATTTAAAGCTGGACTATAAAGAAAATAAGAATTCTTCTAATTTAATCTTGAACAAATGTTATACCACTCAAAAGAAATCATATTAATAAAAAATGTAGAAACAGCCTATATGAAATAAAGTTCTTCATTAGCATTTGAATTTGGCATATTAGATACAAGCATTTTCAAAAGAAGTAATACTAATATCTTACATATAATAAATAGTATCTGTGTTAGGCATACTACTAAGTATTTTACAGATTTTGCTTAGTTAATTCTCACAAAACTCTTATGATATGGATACTGTTATTATCTCCATTTTATACATGAGTGTATTTAAGCACAGAAAAATAATATGGCCAAGGTTTGAGAACTGATAAATGGCAATGCTAGTCTGTGGCATATCCAACCAACTCTTAAGAACAATTATCAGAGAAGGCTACAGTTCCTGTATATCTAATGATCTTTTGTAAGATAATAATTTAGCATATGAATACTTTCTAATAAAATCAGTGTATAAACACATACTAATGCTTTCTAAAAAATTAAAAACAATTACCTCTGAAATAAAGAATTCTTTATGCTTTTCTTCAGCTGCCCTCTGGACCAACTTGTCAAAAGGCAAAGTTCTGAAATAAGTACAAAAGAATACTCAGACTTCATAAGAGAATAACTAGTAATATAATTACTATAGGCTTGCTGCAGGTAAACATGACATTTTACAATATTCATAGTTTTTATTATGACCTATTAAGTGGAATTCTAAATTTTAAAAATTCATTTTAGCAGTATGCTTGTTTGACGTAAGTTATCTGAAATTGTGGAATTTAAGATTTTAAAATTTATTTTACAGATGGATTCTTACAGGTCAATATCCTTCTATTCCAAGTTATTGGTAGAAAAATGCTTCTATGGTATCTGATAACTTTTGGAAATATACAAACTTTCAGGTTTCAAGAGCTACCTGTTTCAACTGTCATGGAAAAGCAAACTGAGTGAGGAATGGGGTTCTCACTGATACTATACTGCTAAAGTGCTACTTCTTGCCTTGTATCCGTCTGAAAATCTAAGTGTCTCTGATGCCAGGTTATGGGCTAATGGCTCCTGTGAATGTGAAAGTCAATCTGAACTACAGGCTACCACTGCTAATTATGTAGAATGAGCATTGCAGAAAAGAGGAGTCCACCATCTATTCAGATTAATCTACAAGGTACTGTTCTTATATAAAATTTTGGATCAATTACATCAATAAATTTACTTGCTATTCTGTTATTCAATGTTTTTTATCTCAGGACTTCGTTACCTCATGCATGTTCCAAACAGAAACCCATCTACTATTGTTATGAAAAATGGTAAAAAATATATGGAAAGTTATGGCCCTAGAAAGAGACAAGGGGCACTTGGAGATGTAGAAAAGCAAGGTTTATTCAGCACTGCTGCAGGCTCAGTGAAGTCCTCTCCAAAAGCTGAGCCTAGCCCCTTTGTTCTCCATATCTTTCATTTTAGTACAGAATTCTGGGTTTCAATACTTTCTCATGCAAGTAACCTTGATTTCTCTCTTTCTTCAGATAGCTCTGGTTCCTGACATAGCTGCTGAGCAAGCATGATTACACAGGCAGAAACTAGTAGGTTGCAGTTATTAACAGAGATAAAAAGAAACATCTTAGGAAGGAGATGCCGCTTCACTATTAAGGGACCATTTTTCTGGACTAGCATATAGACCAGTAAGAAAGACAATATCAAATAAGGGTTACCATGGATGCCATGGAGTCAGGCAAATAATTTGAGTACACGTATGAGTTCTATCATTTTGAACTGCATGATCTTGGATAAGTTGCTTAATATTTTTAAACCTTCATATTTTCCATCTGTAAAATCACATAAACAATATCTACCTCACAGATTGTTTTGTAGTTCAAAATGAATAAAATCTAGAATGCCTGGCACAGTACTGAGTATTCAGGAAAGGACAGATGTTAGGGTTAGCAATAATGAAAATACATATACCCTTCAGTAGCATGCAAGTAGTCATCAAAATTAAGAAAAAAAAAAAAAGAAAAAAAAAAACTTCACCCATTTTGTAAAGGCTGCTTTACAAAATAAGAACAGAATTGATGAAAGTACAATAAATAATAAGAGAAAGACAAAAGAATTACATGATGCCCTAGGCAGAGGCAGCAAAGCAAAGCTTCTGAGATTTAAACTCTTTTTTTCAATTAGATCTATAACCAGAAGATATCAATATCCTTTCATCATACAAGGTTCTCTTGTCCATAGTATCCTGACTCAAGAAGAAAAATGTAAAAGTTAATACTTGTTAATGTATCCATCTTCAGATATTTGATAAAGAAGAGGAGCAACGTCAAACTGAAGTGATTTTTATAATATTGTATCTGTAGAATTTTGTACTTTCTAGTGTCTCTTTGGCCTAGATATCTCCCTTCTTTCCTCCTGCCTGGTAAATGCTAAAAAGTATTAAACCTTTTTTTTTTTTTCTTGCGCTAAATAATCTTGCAACTTTTTAGTAACTCTAAGGAAAAGCTTTGAGGAAGCTGGGATAGAAACTATTATGTAATATATGTGCTTCAAAAACAAGTTTTGAAAAGACATGACAAAACATCAAAGCAATTCAAGATGAGTTTTCAATACCCATTAGACTCTGGAAAATGAACATCGTTAATTGCAGGCTGAAAAATCATCATTCCAGCATTTTCCTGATCTAATAAAAAGTGAAAAGTTCTTACACTTGGAAAACCTTGTGGTAATTAAATTCAATTCATGGTCTATTAAAAACCAAAACTATAATGGTAACCATTCAAATGGTAAAAAATTGAGAAAAGTTTTGGCAGTTGTAACATGAGCTTGGAAACTTTAATGAGAAAGGAATGCCCCTGGACATTAGAAACTCTGTTTAACTCATCTCTAAACTGAAATATTTTGTGAACTACGTGGTTTTTCAATAGATTAATTTGCTGGGAACTAAATGTGCTCAGAATTTGAAAGTTGTTGGTTTTTAACTTAACATTATTAATGAATCTCTGGGGAATAAATAACACATAAAACCTGCAAAATAAAATAATATTTAAAGCTTTCAAGTTTAGATATTCAGCAGCTTATGATTATCTATTTGCTTTCTTTGGGGATAGTACAAGGTATTGAACCTGGTGCCTTGTGCATGGTAGGCAAGCACTCTACTACTAAGCTAAATCCTCAGCTCCTTTTAAGAAATTCCAAAGCATAACATGACAACTATGAAAGAAATAAAAGTATTGAAGGTTAGAAAATATGATTTTTTAAAAAAAGTTAAACAAATTGATGAAAGATTATACCAAACAAGCTTGTCCTACATTTTTATAGAGGACAGAAAAAGAAAACATGAGCCTTTTAGAAAATTTCCTACACTAGATAAGTTTACCAATATGGTAGGATAAATTGATTAATGGAGCAATGAATGAGCACAGCATACCCACCCACTTTAGATATAATCTAATTTTAATTGTGGAAATTCTCTCTTCTGTAACTTCCAAAAAATATTGGGTATATACCCTGTTAAAGAAATGGTCTTTGGAAACATCTTTGTATAATTATATTAACTTTGAATTCTTGTCTATTAAAAGCTCCTCTTTAGGGACTGGGGTTGTGCTCAGTGGTAAAGCACTTGCCTCACACAAGTGAGGCCCTGGGTTTGATCCTCAGCACCACACAAAAATAAATAAATAAAATAAAGGTATTGTGTCCAACTACAACTAAAAAGTAAATATTTTAAAAAAGCGCTATACTTTAAAAAATCAGTAAGCTAGTCCATGATTATATCAGATAGCCAAAAAATGTATAATGATATAAAAATATTTTTAAAATTTTAAAAAGGTTATTTGTACCCCAGAGTAAACCTCAGAAGAAAATACCTATATACAAAATTCTTACTAATGAAGTCCATCTGTTCAACTGTAGCAACGTGAATCTTTACTTCTTTTGTCCCTCCAACTTGACTTAGGTAATCCACTGTCCATTTGCTTGTACATGCTCCTATGTCAATTCCTTCCAACACAAGAGGTTTTCTCTGTAAATAATGAAAAGTGCAACAAAAAATTTGTGAAAACCAACAATATATCAATAGTTATATTTGATAACAGAGGGATAAGCTTTGGTTCTTGATCCCCAGATACTCAAACTCAAAATTTCTGACAGTTCACACTATCACTAAAATCGGAAGAAGGCCCATGAATTAGACCTAGAACAAAAGGTTAAGATTAGGAAAACAAACAGTAGTATCATCAAAAGAAAAGAAGAGAAATCTAAATATTACATATACTTTCATGTTATTTATGACAAAAATATAAATTATTAAAATTTATACTTTATAGTAAAATATTTCTATAACTTTTTATTTTGATACCATTTCAAACTTCTAAAAACATTGCAACAACATTACAAAGAATCATATACTCTCTATGCCAGTTTACTAACTGAATATTGTGTCCCATTTGCTATATCATTTGCTCTCACTGTGTGTTTAGAGAAGGACATATTATTAAACCTAATTTAATTTTTTCGTAACCGTTCTAAGGTTAAAATGCTGGCATTACAAGCCTTTCTCCCTAGAAACTAAGTGTACTTCCTGTGAACAAAGACACTCGTACTACAACGATGGAGTAATAATCAAAATTATATTTCATACTTATATAATATTATCTTATCCACAGTCCATATTTAGATTTCATTAATTTTCCAAATAATTTCATTTAGCATTATTTCTTTTCCTGGACCAGAATTTAGCCTGAAATGCCACATTACATTCAGCTGCCAAGTCTTTTAATATGGAACAGTTCTTCAACTTTTGTCTTCCATGACCTTGTCATTTTTGAAGTATATGGACTAATTATTTTGTTGAATGCCCTTTGATTTGGGCTTATCTGAAGTTTTTTCATGATTAGATTCAGATTATACATTTTGGGGAAGGAATGTACCACAGAAAGGATATGGTGGCCCTTCCTGGGCACCACATTAGGTGATAACTGATATTTTGCCCTAACATTTGTGATGTTAACTTCAACTGGTAAATCTTGTCTAAATCAAGTACTGTTAGGTTGAGTGTAAAAAGCAGTGATTAAAAAAAAATTATATAATTTCTTCTACAGTTGTAAGTTCCACTAATGTAAAAAATGACCTCTAACTTTTTCATTTATTTTATTCTTTGGATAATCTATTAATGCCATTTTAAAACTTGAATTATTTTACATTTGGCTGGTTCTTAAGACTTTTTAACCTAAATATTTCCTCACTTTGTGGCAAAATAACATAATCCAGCATCCTTTTATACTTTTTTTGCCCAGCCCTACAGTCTGGTTTCTTTCAGTGGGTAATGTTTACCCCATTTTTGTCCCATCATCTCAAATATGAAACACCTGTAAAAATGTAAATATGGTATATAACATGTAATATTAAATATTATTTAAATTAGTATTATTTAATATAATAACATACATAAGCTCTAGACTGATTTCCAACCTATTTTAACACACTTGCATCAACCTAATCAAAACATTTACAGAATTGAAAACGTGGGACTCTGGATTAATGGCACATCATTACTTCTGCCTTCTCATTGGACAGAGCTAAGAAATACATGAGCATATATGTATACCCCCCAAAACACACATACACATATGCATATACATATATTTATCTCTCTCCATATATGTACTATATTTATACACACATACATACTGAATGTACATATATTTGTAATCTCTTCTCCAACAATGAGAAACTTAATTCCTATCATTCTCAATGTTTAATCAATTGCAAAACTCCAGAATTTACAGAAAGTTCTTTCAGAATTACGAGGTAATATCACTATTTAAAAAAAAAAAAAGCCTACACTTTTTATCATTACACTGGGGACATATAATCAAAGTACTATATTAAAAAGTGTCTTAGATTATTTCTCCCCCATTCCTTAGATAGTCATTCGTTACTGTTTGATTTCTATTTTGGGGTTTTGCTTTTAACAAAATCATTTCTTATCCTTACTGGTATTATTACTTAGAAATGTAAAACATTGACATGATTTCCCAAAGTCACAACTATACATAACTATACATCCACATTTTTCTATCTCATACTCATCCCGTAGAGATAATTGTCATAAATTTCTATCATTACTGTATTTTTTCCAAGTGCTCAAAAAATATACATATCAGCTCTCCCTTAAAAAAACATGAAAAGTAGTTTACTATATATTTTCTTTGGTAACTTGGTTTAAAAAATTTTTTAAATGTACCTTGGGAAATGTTGTCAGTTCATATACTTCCATTCTTTTTACAGCTTAGTATAACACAGTGTAACTGGGCCATAATTTATCCACTCATTCTCCTGTGCATAGGCATTTAGGTTTTTTTTTTTTTCCACTAATCTGCAAGTACAACAACACTATGTAGACATTTTCATACTTTTGGACGAATATCTCCAGAATAAAATCCTAACAAGAAACAGCTAAGTCAGAAAGTAAACAAATGTAGTTTTGTTGAATATGCCATAAGTTTAGTCACTGGGTATGACAGCAGCAGTTTCTCCACAGCAACACTAAGAGGCATTATCAAAGCTTTTTAAAGGACATTTTCAAGTTTTGTTTTGTTTTTAAAATTGACTATTCATTTTCCTATCAGATTTTTGGACTTCTCCCCAAACCTTCTTTTAATATTTCTTTATAAGAACTCAAAAAACTTATCACCAAAACAACAAATAACCCAATCAATAAATGGGCAAGACACTTCACAGATGAAATATCAACAGTCAACAAATCTATGAAGAAATATTCAATATCATGAGCAATTAGCAAAATGCACATTAAAACTACACAGATTTCATCTCGCTCTAGTCAGAATGGTAATTATCAAGAATACAAGTAACAATAAATGTTGGTGAGAATATAAGGAAAAGTGGGTGGTGGTGTG